GCTCACAGCAACCTCAAATTCCTGGGCTCAAGCGATCCTCCTGCCTCAGCCTCCCGAGTAGCTGGGACTACAGGCATGCGCCATCATGCCCGGCTAACGTTTTTCTATATATTTTTAGTTGTCCAATTAATTTCTTTCTAATTTTAGTAGAGACAGGGTCTGGCTCTTGCTCAGGCTGGTTTCAAATATTTATGGGACTTTTAACTCCTAAGAATAGACACTAAATAGCATATTTCCATCCTCATAAATGACAGTCACATACATTATTATTGTCACTACAATTATTAATTACAATAGCTAATATTTGAGCATTTATGTGCCAAGCATTGTTCTACGCATTTCATTTAATCCTTGTAACAATACTTAAAGAAAGATGATGTTATCATAAATATAGTTTTATAAATGAGGAAAAAGAGACAGAGATTAATTAACTTGCCCAAAGTTCAAATGTACAAGGACTTCAGGTTCCATCCTCTTAACCACAACCCTATAATGACTCTTCAGAATTAAAAAAAAATCTTTTTTAGATCATACCTAAAATTGTTTCATTAACCAGAAAACTTAATCAGAGCTACTGCTAATTAATTACTTGAATCATCTGGTTTAAATTTCTTGTGTCTTCAATAACTTGCTATAATTGTTTAGTGATGCTGGTACAAATGGAGAAATGGCTGGCTGGAAAAAGGAGCAGAAAAACATCTGAATTTTCTTCACACAAGCTGATGAGCCTTTGAATATATGTACTCTTTGTAAGGAAAAATGATTTAATAATCTGCAATGAGCAAGACAGAAATTATTCGGTCCACTTTTTCTAGCACTAATTTAACATCTAAGTATAACGTTCTGTCAACCAAACTGTTTATGTAAATATTTTACTTCCAATATGACAGAAATTCATTCTTCAGCTGACAACATGTATCAATGCCATAGCTTTTAGAATTTAGTGCATTTTTATTAAACATTAACGTGCACAAAATATTTCTAAAGGAAAGATTCTATTTCATACCAAAATTTAAGTACTTTATAAATAAACCTTTTGGGTTACCAAAATATAATAAGTTGACACACAATTGTTTACCATTCTCTTAATTACATACATATCCAGTATTATATACAACATATTTGTTATTATGAAATTAAGATAATAAACATCTCTGGCTGGTATAAGTTTATTATCTTGTTATTATCTACACCAAAACATACACCTTTTGTGAGAAATACTAGATTGAATTACATAACACTATATGTGCTGAATCACACAGTGTTTCGTAGCACAGCAATAGCTAAGCTTATGGGGACTGGTGTTGGAAATTCTCTTTTCTAGGCCATAGAAAATGCTAGAGCTGTGGTTAAGGCAGGGGTTTATAATAAGAGAATCACAATCACTTGGAAAGCATTTTCAAACAATATATGCTCCCCTAGAAATTCTGTTGGGAATCCACACAGAAAAACGATTGTGTCAACAGCACCCATATATGAGATTTTAAGTCTACTAATAGATCTTCATTTATTGGCTAGGGACCCTAACTGTGAAACTCAGCTGTTGAGGAAAGTGAAGGTCCTTGTTCAATGCCCTACTCCCTAATTTCCCAAGGCCTTCCATGCCACTTCTGTAATGAGCAGCAAGTGAAGAAAAAATAATGCTCTGGAGCAACAAAAATCTTATTTGACCAAAAGACTTAAATCTCTACATATTTTGATCTTCAGACAATGGAAATATACAGCCAATAATTTAGAAATTAGCAAAATTCACACCTAATGTTGGTCTGTACTTACTGATTAGGAGTTCCAGGTGGAGACCGTGATGGAAGGCTTTGTGTTTCTAACCTGTCATCAGATACTGAATTTCTGCTGACTACTTCCCAATCCATTAATTTCCGTGCCAAGGGCTTACTTGGGGATCTGCAGAAATAATTTAAATAATAAGTAAAAAGTTTTATTTTTATACCCTGAACTATGAATCAAATCCTACAGTTTGTTTTAATAGATCATATTCTATGAGTCAATATAAAAAGTTTACTTATAAGAATTAATGTATTTAGAAGCTATTTTACCAAATAATTTCCTACGAAACTACATTTGCTTTATGTGAAGAAGGAAAAAAAGACAGGCTAGGAAGAGTAGCATAGAGAATAGGAAAGAAGAGAGAAAGAAAAAAAAAGGAAAAGAAAGAGGAAGGAAAATAACAAAGGAGTAGTTTCTACCAAATGTTTTCTCAGATGTTAACAATACTATAGATATTACCTATTTCTATTACAGAGTATCTGGAACTCTAGCTTATCTTGGGATGTATTAAATAATACCTAGTACATTATCTCTTGAAGACCTTTAAACCTAAGTCCTTATCCTCTGCCTCAATGAGGACAGAACAAAAATATAATTAGGCATATTACATTTTATTTATAATTTTTTTTTAATGTATAGTGGACCAGTGCAGTTTTTTTTATTCTTTTCTTTTTACAAAAGCATTTTGGAAGGTTAATTATTCTGTCTTGTAGTAAGAAGTAGGAGGATATGTTTCATTACCTAACTATAGTCAGTTATCTAACTATTGTCAGTTATTCACAGTGATAAAGATGAGAGAACTAAGTGATCTTTTAAGAAAAAGATCTTGATATTGATTTATTCAGATCAAAAGACATTGATTTATGCAGAGATCATAAGCCCTTAGAATTTTAGGAATGTTAACAACTAACATCTTTTTTTCCCTTTCCTTAAAGAATCTTCTTTTACTATTTTTTATTTTTAATTATTATGGGTATTTAATAGTTGTACATCTTTATAGGACACGTGATGTTTTGATACAAGCATATAATGTGAATCAATCAAATCAGGGTAACTGGAGTATCCATCATCTCAGGCATTTAACATTAACAACTAATATCTTTTTATATGCAAATTAAGATATTGGCTGAAATTAATTGAAAATACATGTCATCAATTTAAATGTCTAGCTTTTTGAAACACAGAGCCAATATGGAGGCTAATGAATGAATTAAGCTTGTACATTGTTTTATATTTCAGTAATACATTCACTGAAGCACATAAAAATTATGTTATTTTCCATTATAGCACAATTAAAAAAAATCAGATCCTGTTATCCTACTATATAAACCAGATCATAAAAATCTGAGTAGAAGCCCCTATTTGTGTAAAATAAAAAATCAAGACTATTTTTGGTTACAGTTCACAGGATTCATAGGTCTTCATTACGTGAATTTGGATTTACTTTCAGATTTTCCAAAAATAATAATAATAAAGAATTGTACGTAGTACTGTATTTATTTACTTTTTTAGCTTATTGGGATTTTTTTCCTTAAAGTTAGCCATTATTTTTTCTTCTCATCATGTACTACTATGTATGCATTATTGTTGGGTAAAAAGAACAATTACCAAGCAAGGCACAAAGCAAATGTAATACTGTCATCCAATTACCTTGAAACTTCATGAGATCATTATGTACCAAAATTCTAATGTCATTAAGTTTGCAGTTGCACTATCAGCTTACAATTTCCTATCCAATATGTTGAACACGTAAAAAGAAAGACTTCAGACTTGACCAAAAACTATGGTAACATCGACCAAGGAGTATTTGAAAAACTGTTATGTATGCAGCAGGAAGCATTAAAATGATGATGAATAGAACCCTAAGTCCTAGTTCTGGCTTCCCATTAGACAAATCTCTTAAGTTTCTATAACTAAACATATAAATTTACTAGTACAATATAATCCTTAGGGCTCTCCCTAACTCCTTAATTTTACGATGTATGAGTATCTAAATTTTCAGTGTAATGTTTTACCTATTAATTTTACTAAACAAGAAAAATTTTAAGTTACTTGTGAATCCAAAACATACAAGTATCCTATCATTTCAGGAATTCATAGCCAAAACTTTTTTAGTCTGGCCTAATGACATCTCCTTAATTTAAAAACTAATAGGTATTTTCTAAAAGAAATTCCAACCCCTAAATGTTGCAGTGCAAATTTTCATGTCAGTCACAACAAAATGAAAATAAAGTATACTGTATCTCATGATTTAAAATAAAGGTTATTAACATATACCATTATAGATCTTCTATTAATGCTAATTCTTAATGTTAATAAACTAATCTTTCTTCATATATTATATTACTAAATGTAAGCTGTTCACTAACTATAGTCAGGAGATCAACTACTTTCATTTTCTAAGAAAGGGGAAACGTCATTTAAAGGAAGAAAAATCCCAGCACACTTACCTGGTCTAAAGCATCATCAGAACACTTTACTGCTGTTAATGGATTAAAGATGGTTGAAAACGCTTTGAATTTAAAACTAAATTTCAGGTATTTTATTTCATTAACAGTTTTAACCTCAGGGACCCACCCACTTAAGTTTGCTGTCTATGTTTCCTGTTGAGTGTGGAAATTTCAGAGAAAAAAATACCACACTGCATCACTGTGTTTGCAATGTGGTAAATTTATTTTCTGACCATGGCACCTTATTTTTCTGTTGTATGAGAACATTGTTTTTCTCTCTTCTTAGATATTATTACATGACAACTGAAAAAGTGTGAAAGCAACTCAGAGTTGATATATCAGAAAAAGAAAAAAATAATTTATTGAATTATTGCTAAAAACCATCTTATATGAGAAGTTTAAGGAAAAACCTTTTCTATTTACACTGCCAAATAAAATTCTAAGAAAGACAATAATTCCAGAATTCTCTAGTACTTTAACAAAATAATCTAATTACTGCTAAAACCATTAGAGAATTTTGGTAGACATGTATCAGGACATTACAGTAAGATTCTGATATATTAGATAAACAATCCCAGAAAAGATTTGTCTTTTGGAGAAGGAGAGATCATTAAAACAGTCTAGTACTATTAAAACAGTTATAAAGAAGTCATTTGCATGTGATTTTAACCTTAATATAGAAGGTTATATTAACCTGTGATTCAATACTCATAATAGGACATATTACATAAAACTAGTAATTAAATCACATATTCTACATTTTTTATAGCTATCGAGCAAGGAAAACAGTTAAGCTTATTGTTAGAAAAGGAATAAAAAAGGTGTAAGTATATTGTTATGGTACTGTTATAACATTAAGGATCAGAAAAATATTTTGATTTTATCAAGTATGAAAATGAGTGTTAGAAATAAGAGCACTAAGCACTAGAACAAAAACATTAAATTAAAACAATGAAGTTTACAGGAAGTAAATTATTTCTTTCTCAAGAGGAACTGCAAAGAAAATAATTTCATATTAACATTACACCTTTGTACAGGTCTTTAGTATACTCTAAGTTGAAAAAAATGGTATCTAAGACTGTAAAAGAGAGGATTTTTAATAATTTCATAGCCGTATGTATTAGGGTAGACATCGCTGTGTTCTTTTTTTCCTTACCTAAAATAACCAAGCCACTAATATGGCACCAAGATTTATATGTAATAGAGAAAAAAACAGTATTTCCTTCATAAATCTAAAAGCAAGAATAAATTGATTTCAAACATTTTTGAACAAATGCTGAAATAAATTACATCATTCAAATTTAAGTAAACTTATCACAGTACAGTGCTATAGTCCTGACAAGCTGAAATCTTTCCCACATCGACGCATTTTCATCAACTGTTTTCATGTTGGGTCCAAATTAGGATGAAGGTACCAACCCCACAATGAAGAAAAAAAAAATGCAAGTAAATTTTATTATTCAAATACACAAAAAATATGTTTCAATAATTTTTTGTTCCAAATGTCCTTACTCCGAAAAGTTCATCATATTATTTATTATTTATTTTTATAAGCATTCAGGACGTATTACTGTGATAGTCTCAGACAGTCTTAGCAACGACTCCTACTCTGGAGGGAGAAATCCTGAAGTTTAATCTACAGTTTATGATAAAAGGATTTTACTGTTTAAAGATTTACTGCCATTATAAATGACATTTTTCAACACCAGAAAATGTACATGATATGTTAAGTGATAAAAGCAAATAACATAAAGTATGAAATAATTTTGAAACAAATATACATATACATATATCTGTAAGTACATGCATGGAAAAATCTTGAATAGTAAATACCAAAAATATTTTTAGTTATCGTGAGATGAAAATTTTTCTTGTAATTTCCATTTCTAATGGAAAGAAGAAAAAACCAAAACCACAAAACTTGTTTTACTCCAGAAACACAAAACTGGAAGGTTTTTTTTTTTTTTTTTGAGACAGAGTCTCACTGTGTTGCCCGGGCTAGAGTGCCATGGCATCATCCTAGCTCACAGCAACTTCAAACTCCTGGGCTCAAGCCATCCTCCTGCCTCAGCCTCCCGAGTAGCTGGGACTACAGGCATGCGCCACCAAAGAAGGTCTTTTAGAAAAAAGATTAAGAGCAAAATTTAAACAAAGTAAAATCAAAAGCAAAATTCTCTAGTTCTCTTTATTAAAACACAAACCTCCAATAGTAGTAGATGCCAAGCACTTAACTCTTTAAAGACTTATCCTCTTTAAGTCATTTTCACTGAAAACAAACTCCTGTCTCTCACAGTCATCAATTTCTGTTAGTTCTACCCACAAAATGTTCCTCAAATTTGTTCCCTATTCTCCATTCCACCACCAATGTTCTGCTTCACATCTTTATTATTTTCACTTGGATTACTGCAGTTACCTTCTAAGTGGTCTCTGGGTACCCAGTCTTTACTTACTAACCCATTCTCTATTCTTGCTCATAAAACGACTTTGTAAAACATAAATTATAACTTGGTAAAAAGCAAACTGGCTATAACAGACCCTAAAAAACTAAAGACAATAAATGGTAAGCAAATATAAAGCAACTTAACTGACTGTTAACAATACGCTTTACATGAATATGGAAATGGACTTGATAATATATGAAATAAGTCACTATATTTCTCAAAACTTTTAAAAAAAGGAGAGCAACCTTCCAACAAAATATATTAATAACACTTGATTCAGCCTATTCAGAGCTATTAATATTATTCTTGGCACATGATTAATGCTCATATAAAAATGAATCAATAAACTAGACAAACTAGTTTATCATTCCATCAATATAATTTATTTAAAGGATCATGTGTTAATTCTGTAATCATATTTAGACAGTTTTAATAATCTTTATTCTTTATTCAGACAATGAAACAGAACTGGCTTACCTTGCAAATACTCTGTCTTTATTAGCCTTTTCTTTGCCATACTGAACTGACTGGACTTCTGTTCTCCCACTGAAATACATAAATATGCACAACAATAAAATCTTAAAGAGAACTACAAGATAAAATGACAACATACAACATGATTATATTACAATTTCATAAGAGACAGGACATTTCTAGCAGAGAAAAGGAAACAGAGAGTAAGAAGAGTGGACTACATTCCAGTTCTACCTGGATGAAGCGAGCTTACAGTCTCCTATTAATGAACAAAGATGTGTTCCACAGACACTACATTTTCCCATACTTGTTAATGCAAGAATGAATATGAGAGAAATAATTTCGCATGAGAGGAATTCCTTCCCTGTTATGTCCTGGAAAGGCACTCTCTAGAATTAGAAATAGGTTGTCATGACCCAGCTCAAACAAGCCCTGCCAACCCCAAACTCCCCCTACAGGTCTGGGATTTAGTTAGTCTCCTTAATGAAGAGGCTGAGACATGGGAATTCTAGGAGAACTGTTCTTTCTTTGATCTTTTGTTCCTTGCCTACTGCTAATGATCACAGACATGAAGACTCTGATCTTCGTATCTGTGAGTACCTCAACTCCTTCCACATCCCGACACAGGACAACTCCAGATTTTTGTATACAGGAAAGGAACTAAGGTGGACGTGTGGTGGGGGCTGGGCACTAGGGGTCTGTCTTGAAGGTGATTTGTCTAGCAAGCACACTATTTATGCAGGGAATGGATCCTCCTCTGTGCTACACGAATATGTTCACACTACCTTTGTTAATATTAATAAAAGCCTGGTTCTCAGAAAATTTGTTACTCCAGGCATCCCATTACTTGTTTTTTTTGTTTATTTGCTTTTGTTTTGAGACACAGTCTCTCTGTTCCCCAGGCTAGAGTGCTGTGGCCTCAGCCTGGCTCACAGCAACCTCAAACTCCCGGGCTCAAGTGATCCTCCTGCCTCAGCCTCCCAAGTAGCTGGGATTACAGGTTAATTTTTTGTTTCTATTTTTAGTTGGCCAGCTAATTTTTTCTATTTCTAGTAGAGCCTGGGTCTCACTCTTGGTCAGGCTGGTTTTGAACTCCTGCCCTCAAGCAATCCTCCCGCCTCGACCTCCCAGAGTGCTAGGATTACAGATGTGAGCCACCACACTTGGCCTTAAAGTGTTGAATGAACACACATTTCTGGTATATCAAATATAACCATTTACAAATGTAGATATCCAGTGTATACAGAAATAGCCAAATATAGGTTTCCATAGTTAAGCAATTTTAAGACCATCTTCCATGGATAAGTATCAATAAATGTCAACTGAAATGACATACTCGTGAGGTTTTTAATGGAAAAATGAGAAATAGTACCATGATTTTTTAAATGGTTAAAGTTTCCTAAGAAAACATACTTTCTCTAAGAAGCAGGTAACAAATTAAGGTTCACCACTGTTTTGTATTCTTACATTAGAATAATGATTTTAATGCCGCAGATATTCTGGAACAGAGATAAGGGTGTGTATATGAGGAGGTTGGTGGAGAAAGTAATATATTTCTCTGATATTCCTATTTCCATTTGTCTGTCAAAATAATATTTCAACATTTTAAGTGTGACAATAGTTCCAATATTCCCAACCCACTGTTTATTATGAGGGAAAAAAGGTTTATTTTTTTCCCTCATAATAAGCAGTACATATCTATTAGGAACAGGACTGTGTCCAGCTAAACATCTGTCATGCTCCCGTTCTTACCTCAAGACTATAAATCATTTTGATGACTAAAAAATGCTTTGGATATGTTTTTACACTTAAGGACTACAAACATAACACTTAACTTTTAAAATTATAAATATATATTGTTTTATATACATACATACAATTTAATGTGAACTGAGCTGTCAAAGGCCCCAATCCTCTCCTTCGGTATTCTGCTATGTTTTGCAGGGGCGCAAGTTCACAAATTCCATTTTTTAGTTTCCTTTGCCAGTTAGCATTCTGTTAGGTTCTGCATTTAAAAGGCACCGGTGGAAGATCACAAAGTGGAGAAAGGCAGAGCAGGAAACTGGTAGATGCTGGTAGCTGCTTTAATAGTCGTGGGTATAGGGCACAGTGAGAAACATCTTGTGGATGGTTCCATCGCTGATTAAAGCAGCATTTCTCTGGCAGATACAGAACTGACTATTGACAGTGGCTCTAATAGTATAGTAACTGGTCTAAGTTTGTGGACTCCGGCCCGGAAGTGAACCAAGTCTCTGATTGCTAGACATTACCCTTTCTTCCTGTTTGATTCTTCATAACCCTTTTCTTCTCCTTTTGCTTTACCAGCCTTTCCAACACCTGTGTAACCCATTCTCTCAATTAAATAGTTTCTGTTTGAAATATCAAAGGAGTTTTCTGTTTCCCTGAACTCTGTGAGTGATACACTAATTTCCTAGTGAAGAAGATTCAGATGGGACTCTATTACTAAAAAGGCTAAATTAACAAGTTGAATTTCATAATGAAGAGGGAGCAATTTAAGAAAATGGCAGAAAGGTTTATATTTCATATTGTCCACAATATAGTCTTTAGGGGTTCAGTATTGTTATTAGAACAAAATGAAAAATTGTACCAGTCTCAGGACACTCAATTCTGACAGTGACATACTTATCTTTTGAGCAATAAGTGCCAATTGTTAAAAAAAAAACCACACACACACTTAAAAGTAATTCAAGAAATATAAAAAAGCATAACAAAAAGAACAAAAAAACCAAAAAAAATTTTTTAGCCACAGTCCTACCCGCAAGAAATTTATCATCACGATAAGCAGGTAAAAATCATCCTGAAACTCCATTTATATACACATAGAAAAGGCTAGAAATAATAGACATAATTTTATTGAAATGTGATTATGGAATATATGCCACTTTTAATGAAAAAAATATTAAACTGATTTCCCTTGAACTAAAAGATTGCTATTCATTAAAAAAAAAAAAAAAGACAAAGGAAAACCTTTGTTTTTGCATCATGGATGATTTTGAAGTTTTTGACTAGGAAAAGCTTAAGAAGTTGGTGTATTACTGTTTAACGCTACATGTTTCATATTTTGTTAATAGGGATTCAAATACTTCCACTAGTCCCTTGCTTCCTCTTTTTTAAGTTATATTATAACATATATGATATTAATATAGTGATATTTATTACATTTTGTCAAAGTTTATATCATTTTAATTCTATAGTCACAACTCTTATACCTGTCAAGGACTACATCTATATTTAAAAGATTTAATTTTCATTCTTAGCGCTTTTATCAGAATTCTTCTTGAGTTATTCTGATCTATCTTCTGGTTGGTTTAATTTTACTATTAAATAAATGCTTTTTGGGTTGGGCGCAGTGGCTCACACCTGTAATCCCAGCACTTTGTGAAACCAAGGTGGGAGGATTGCTTGAGGCCAGGAGTTCTAGACCAGCCTGAGCAGGAGCATGACCTCGTCTCTACAAAAAACAGAAAAATTAGCTGGGTGTAGTGGCGCACACCTGTAGTCCCAGCTACTCAGGAGGCCAAGGCAGGACGATTGCTTGAACCCAGGAGTTTGAGGTTGCACTGAGCTATGATGACGCCACTGCACTCTAGCCAGGGTGACAGCTTTAAAAAAAAAAAAAAGATAATGGAGAATATTATAAACCTTATGCCAATAAATTCAACAACCTAGATGAAATAGATAAAGCTTATGGAAAGACACAAACTACCAAAGCTTGCTCAGAAAGAAAGAAAAACCTGAATTGCCTTATCTATTAAAGAATTTCAATGTGTTGTTCAAAACCTTCCTATAAATAAAACTCCTGCCCCAGACAGATTAATTGGTAAATTCTATCAAACATTTAAAAAGGAAAGGATACCAATACTATTGTAAGCTTTTCCAAAGAATTGAAATTTCCCAATTCATTCAATGAAGCCAATCTTACCCTGACACCAAAGTCTAACAATGATATCGTAAGAAAAAGAAAACCACAGAGCAGTATCCTTTATGAGCATGGATGCAAAAATTCTGAACAAAATTTTAGCGAAATTAATCAAACAATATATAAAAAGGATATCATGGCCAAGTGGGATTTATCCCAGAAATAGAGAGTTGGCTTAACATTTGAAACTTAATGTAATTTATCATATTAACAAACTAAAAAGAAAACTGTATCATCTCAACAGCTGCAGCGAAAGCACTGGACAAAAACCAATATCCAATCCTAATACAAGTTAAGTATGCCTAATCCCAAAATCCAAAATCTGAAACTTTTTGAGTGTTGACATGACGCTCAAAGGAAATGCTAATTGGATCATTTTGGATTTTGAATTTTCAAATTAGGGATACCAATACGTAAAAACTTCCAGCAAATGAGAAATAAAAGGAACTTCCTCAACATGCATGAAATAGAGCATCTACAAAAAGCCTATAACCATCATCATACTTAGTAGAGAAAGACTTCATGTTTTCCCCTAATATGAGGAACAAGACATAGTTGTCTTCTCCTACCACCTGCATTCAACACTATTCAATGCTGTACTGGAGGTTGTAGCTGGAGTACTAAGGAAAGAAAAAAATAAAAACCATCAGATTAGAAAGCAAGAACTGCAACTCTTTTTATCATCTAGGTAGAAAATCTGTTGGAAGCTACAAAAACAAAGCTCCTAGAATAAGTAAGTTTAGGAAGGCTTCAGGAAACAAAATCAGATCAATATTTTAAAAACCGATTGCATTTCTATCTAATGGCAATGAATAATCTGGCCATCTATAAAACAATAAAAATATAAAATACTTAAGGATAAATTCAATGCAAAAGACCTGCACACTAAAAACTACAAATAGTGCTGAGAGAAATAAAAGATTTAAGTAAAGAAAAAGATATACCATGTTTCACGAGTGGAAGAGTAAATATTTTTGAGATGTCAATTCTCCAAAATTGGTGTATAGATTCAACACAATCCCAGTTGAAATCCTAGAAGGCTTTTTTGCAAGAACTAATAAGCTAATTATTCTTTTTGTAAGAGATGGAGTCTTACTATGTTGTTCAGGCTAGAGTACAGTGGTTATTCACAGGCACAACTGTGGCACACTACAACCTCCAACTCCTAGGCTCAAGCAATCCTCCTGCCTCAGCCTCCCAAGCAGCCAAGACTATAGGCATGTACCACTGTGCCTGGCTAATAAGCTAATTTTAAAATTTGTATGGAAATTCAAAAGACCTACAATATCCAAAACAACTTTAAAAAAGAAAAGCAAAGCTGGAGGACTAACACTACTGAACTTTATATTATAAAGCCCAGAAATAGGACCAAATATGGATACCTTCTTTTCGACAACGGTACAAAGGAACAACTGGATACACATAGAAAGAAATGATGGACCATGGACCTAAATGTAAGAGCTGAAACTATAAAACTCTTAGAAGAAAACAGAGGAATAAATCTTTCTGACCTTGGGTTTGGCAAAGATTTCTTGGATATGACAACAAAAGAAAGATCCTTATAGAATAGAATAAATTGGAAAATTAAGCTTCATCAAAATTCAAAACTTGTGCTCTTCAGAAGACACTGGTAAGTAATGAAAAGATAATAGTAAGCATTGATGAGGATGTAGTGGAGGTGGAACTCTCATACACTGCTGATGAGTACATAAATAGTACAGTTGCTTTGAAAAAATGTTTAGCAGTTTCTTACAATGTTAAACATACATCTATCATATGATTTGGCCTTTCTACTCCTAGATATTTACCCAAGAAAAACTAAAGCATGCATGCACACAAAGACTTCCATACACATGTTCATGGCAGCTTTATCTGTAATAGCCCAAACCTAGAAACAATCCAAGTGGTGAAACAACCCACTTGATATCATCAGGTGAATGGATAAACAAATTATGGTATATCTTTACAATGGTATAATACTCTACAATAAAAAGAAACAAACTATCAATATAGGCAACAACATGGATGAATCCTGAAGAAATTACTATGAGTAAAAGTGGTCAGTCTAACAAGAATGCTTCACATATGCTTCAATATATATAAAATCTTAGAAAATGCAAACCAATCTATAGAGACAGAAAGCAGACCAGTAGTTGCCTAAGAATGAAGGGTAGGAGAAAGGGGTTATAGAGGAGCACAAGGGAGCTTTTGGGGATAATGGATATGCTTACTATCTTGATTGTGGAGATGGACTCATGGATGTGTGTGTGTATATATATACACACACACACACACACACACACACACACACACACACACACATATAAAGAGCGAAATGGAGATTACATATAGTATTTGTGTGTATATATATCAAATTTTAAACTTTGAATATGGTAGTTAATTATGTCAACTGTATTTCAATAAAGTTGTTAAAATGATATTTTATTCAACTTTTAAAAATATACAGATTCCACTTAATAGGCCATAATCTCAATTCTGTTGAAAACATGTAAAATCTGCTAATATTAGGACAATCTTTCCTCAAGGGTAATAACAGCCTGAATGGCAGGTGTCGCTCTCGTCCCCACAAATCTTTGTTTTTTTATCAGATTGTTCTTGAACTTGCTTTTATTAACACAAGAAATTCCCTTCTGTTTCAGTGATGATTTTCTCCCAAACTGGTTTTTTCAAATATCTTTTGTATTTGTAATCATCATGTCTAGATTTTCTGCTTGCTGTGGTATGGTTTGGGTAACTTTTGAGACTTGTTTGAATCATAGTTGAAGGCTGGTAACTGCAGTCTAATAATTTTGTTGTAACTAAGTAAAATGGTGTGTGTTTGCAAGGACAGAGGGGAGAAGGAAGAGTTCTACTAGGGCAGGGGTAGTCCTTGTATAATTACCTCAGTGGTCACTTAGGAATTAAATTCATTAAGGGAATACCCTTAGGGTTTGTACTGTTCTCATTTCACAATAAAGCCTTGGAGATTTCTTCTCTCTCTGTTGAGATTTCGTACCAGTAGGTAAGGTTCTTTGCCTTTTTTTTTTTTTTGGTTTTCATCATTGATCTGGTACTCTCTCCCTCAGTTTATTTACCTCAAAATTTGCAAGTATTATCACCTTACTTTTCTCAATATTGCTTTTAGGAAGGTGAAAAAGGAGTTAAATAGGACATCAAATCACTTAGGAGTCTGCTGTGTTTTTTTTGGTTAAAAATTTCCTAATTCTGTTTAATTGTTGTTACTGAACTTCTGGGCTACTTTTACTAATTTTTCCTGGGGTTGGGGGCCATGTATTTTTAATAATATATCCCGTACTAATCTTACAGTTATTTTTACAGAGATTACAAAGAATATTTATAAATGTTTAGATTTATAATATAAATCTCTTTTGGGCCACAGCTAAACATTTTTCTGATGAACTTATAACATGAATTAATCTAACACATGATGGCCAAAGGTTTTATTTATTGAAGATGGAAAAATCTTATTTTGTGAAGCAGAAACAAACAAAAATGAATAACATTTGTTTTACTAAAAGATCACAAATAACTTTTCTATATGATTCTTACCAGGTTCCACTTAGAAACTAGCTTTCATGGGTCTTTTAAGAATTCCATAGGTAAAACTAATCAGAGCTTCTTCAAATTTATTTATCCCCCAAAGATTGTTGCCTTCAGGAAAAAATAAAAGCTATCAAGAACAAGACAATTTTAGGAAAAGGAACCTGGGGTTATTGTTCAATGACAATCTGATTTTGCTTAGTGGTTGTTTTGACTCTTTATAATAAAGGGTTTGATAATTCAAAAATACGCTAAATTCTAGATTAAAAAACAAAAGTAATTCTTTATTCATACAGAAGATATCTTGGTTTTTACAAATAAAATAAATGTGGCTTAGAACAAGGAAAAGTTTTCATGTATATATTTAACAAAGAAACAATGGAAATTATAACATCTGTCTAGACTGTAAATAAACGTGGCTAATTTTACTTTAGAACATAATGACCTGGAATATAGTCAATGGAATGAGTTTCTCAAGCCTGGTGTATATCACGAGAACTTACAGAACCTTTTACTGATATAGATATAGAGAGGCTGTACTCCATAGAGATCTTGACTCAGTAGGTATGTATGAGTAACAAAGATTCTATGGTTCCAAAAACGAGACCTTTATTTTAAAGGAAGGAAAAAAAATCCAAAAATAAAGCCTTAATACAGAAGCAATACTTACCAGTACCGGAATTTTGAACCTAATGTAAAATAATGTGCAAAAAAATTCTTTTGAGGTGGAAGTGGTCTGTCCAAACGGAAGAATGTGTGATGTTCTACACAAGCTTTCCACAAATTTTTACATGCTCTGTAATTCACCATATTAAATCCCAATAATGTTTCTCTAGATTCATGCTGTAATAAATGACAAAATGCAGAGAATACCAGGAAAATGTCAGGATCTAATGCTCCACTTAATTTATCTTTTTTTAAAAAACAGTATCATCTTTACTGGTTTGACATTTAATTTACTTTTGACAGATAAATTATTCTAACCTTGCAAACACTAATCCCTCTAGGATCTCCTTTGCTTATCCAATAAAAAGGCAATAAAGTAAATGGAAAGGCTCATAAAATGTGGACCTCATTCAGTAATATTACAACTCCAAGAAACTTTTAGCTTAGATCGCAGTTAGAAATATGTTAAAAAATTTCCTACATATCTGTTTTCAATATTTATTGCTGTGATTCTGTTTCAAAATATAATTCTAAGCCATAAATTAAACATTAAACTTTTAACAATGGTCCTAATTTTATAAATCTGTCCACACTGTAATTAAGGAAATAAGAATATTTAGCAGCTCTGAACACTATCACGGAATTCAAATTTTTCAATAATCAGCACAAGAATATAATTCTTTAATTTTCTTGAAAGTTCAGCATAAATTACTAAATAATTTCATTAAAGTAAACCATATACACATCATTGCAAAGCACACATCCCATAAGTGTACAGCTTTGGTTTTCACATAATGAATACAACCATTTAACTTCTACCCATATCAAGATCATTACTACCACTTCAGAAGTATCCTTTGTCTCCTCTTTCTACCAGATTACCATCCCAAAGGTAATCACTCTTCTGACATTATTACCCATAGACTAGTCATGCTTGTCTTTAGTTCTAGTTTCTTTTGTTCGACTTTATGTTTCTGATATACATCCATATAGTTGTGAAGCAGTAATTCACTCATTTTCATAGTATTCTATTGTAATGAATGTACCACAGTTTATCAACTTTGCTATTGATAGACATTTGATGTTTCTAGTTTGGGGATGTAAGAATAATGCTGCTATGTATATTCCTGTATGTTGTCTGGTACACATATATGCACATTTCTGTTGTTGGATCACAAGATGTGTGTGCACAGGCTCAGCTTAACAGATAATGCCCAGCAGTTTTCCAAAATGGTTAGATCGATATACACGCCTTCCCACTAGCAGTGTATATTCCACATACTCACCAACTACTGAATCATCAGTTTTGTTCACTTAGCTGTTCTGGTGGGTATGTAGAAGTGGCACATTCAGGTTATAATCTGAATCTCCTTGATAACTAATGGGGTTCATATTATCATTAACTAATGAGGTTCATGTTATCATTAATCTTTTTGTGTTAATGGCCATGCAGATATCCTCATTTATGAATTATCTGTTCAAGTCACTAGCATATTTTTCTATTGGGTCACATAAACAACCAAGGACTTGTATGTGTGTATATTAACATTACATGTTCTGTGCTATTTTACACTCTTAATGATAATGATGACTTTTGATGAAGACGCATTAATTTTAATGTAGTCCAAATAGTCAATCTTTAAAGTTAAGGTTTCCTGCTATGTCCTGTTAAAGAAATCTTTGCTCATCAAAAGGTTATAAAGATATTTTCCATGACTAAACCACAGTAAAATGCCAAGGTATAAGTAATAAGCTATCATGTTTGAAAGTAATATGCTTAAAACATCATTCCCTGTTTACCAGAAATTCTTAATTATGATTTTTATTTGCACTAACACATATGGTTTACATGTTATACCAAATACATTATCCAAAATGGCAAAAATGTCTCATAGTCAGTATAACGCAATAACGCTTCTCAGTGTCAGCAACATCTAAGATGCATATATGTTTCTCCTTTTTTGACACCTGGTATACTTTTCAATAAGTCTGTATGTGATTTTGACATTCTACCAATTATATGTGGAATGTAACAAAATAATTTTCCCACACAGTTTGTAAACAAAGGACACAAAATGTTGTATCGAGAGAGAAGTACATGCTATGAAGTTTGGGTATTTAAAAACAAAGAGATATTTGAGAAACATTAACATAGCCACCTTCTGCAGAGTATGTACCAATGTCATAACAAGGTTTGAGGGAGCCACATTTCACACGATGGCATGAAAATCCAATCATCACGCTTGTGAACCACAAAAAGATCCCTGTATACTGCCTTTAATCAACTGTTAGTTGAATTTTGTTCCTATTGTTACTTATGATTAAACACATTCTTAACTGGTACACTACCTCAGAAAATGACTGTGAGGATTAAATGGTATGAAAATGGTTGGTATATTACCAGGTACACAGTAAATTTTCAATAAATGTTAGGTATTGTAACATTATTATTACAACACTAGTACTATATAATAGGAAGCAAATTAGAAAAGTTGACTTCTATAGTGCCATCTATAATTAAAGTACAATATTTGTTCTCTAGTTTCTAGATAATGAGATATATTTTAAATCTCTGAACGTTTATTGAAACATGAACAAGAATGTTCATTAGCAGCATTAGTCATAATATCCCTAATCTGGAAATGAAAAAACTGTCCACTAACAGAAGAATGAATAATTTATGGCATATTCATTCAGTGAATACAATACATAAATAGAGCAAACTAATATGTGCAACAACATGGATGAATTTCACAAAAAATGTTAAGGGAAAGAAGACAGAAAAGAGAACATACTGTATGATTTCATTTTTTAAAGTTCAAAAATAAACAAACCCATGGTAATACAAAGGAGAGTAATGTTTACCTTTTGGGAGTGTTAATGACTGGAAGTGGACATGAGCTCCATCAGTAACATTACCAGCTTCTGTGGTGCTAGTAATGTTCTATATATTAATCTGGGAGGTGCTGATATAGGTATGTTCACTTTATCAGGTTGTATACTTAAAATCTGTATACTTTTTCAATAAAAATTATCTTGAAAGAAAAAAACTTCCATATTTTGAGAACATAAATGACAAACCATAGTCACTTAGTAAATCAATATCCTGATTCAATGAAGCTGATTCAAACACATTGTTAAAGTTTCAAATACATTTTATACACATAAACACATACAATCTTGAAACCCACATTAATTTGCCAAGATTTTTCAGATTTCTAAGAAACAGTGTACATCAAAGGAAAAGGTTAATTTGATGAAACTGATAACATCAATCATTACAAGATGAAACTGTTTACAACACTGTATTTTTCATGACAACTCATTTTGTTGTACTTAATATATAAAAAGGCCACTACCATTCAAACACAGGGAGGAAATGTGTTATAAATTCATGAACTAGAAACTAAACACTCAGCTCCCTTAAAATGAAATGAGCTTATATATGAAGATGTAGATTTAGTACAAAAAAAAAAATATATGCTTAGCTACTGCCCTCATGAATGGACCCTGAAGACTGACAATGATCATCATATGTGAAAAATCAGTTTCTAAGTTCAAGAGAGAGCGAAGGGAAGTCTAGGGAACTTTATATCAGAACCACAGACACAGTGCAGAAACAAATACCCTTTATCATAAAAAATATATTCATTACCTCAGTAGGCAGTATTAACTAACAGTATTAACTGCACTTTGAATTGGCCTAATAGAAAAATTCTGTCATGAATGATAATCTTAAAAGAATTCATTTATATCAATAATTATCAGATCAATACTCACCAATTCTTTTCTAAGTTGAATAAAGAACTGTTTGCACTTAAAAGAAATTTTTACAATCTTCAACCTGGACAAAAGAAAATAAATTGGAGTACGTGAAGTATTGAATAAAGATTAAAATATTAACAAAGAAAAAACGATAAAATAATCTTTTAAGTGTATATTTACTAACATCTAAACATTTTATCATATATATGTGCACATAGTATATAGAGAATCTAAAGTTTTGGTGCTTCATGGAAAAGCAATTAGAATCTGTGTTCAACTGAGAAAAATTTTTTCAGAATATCTATTGTGAACTATATATTTCCCAATTTTGTATCTATAGAAATAAAAACACGTCACAAATGAAAATTTCAAGTAATATTATTAACGTAGTTGTTCATTCTTTAAAACTATAAGCAATGTTTGAAAAATGTATGATTTCATGGTTTTATGCAATGACCCTAAAAACACTTTAATTTTTAAAGGCATAATATTTAAAATTTTATCTTTCTATATTGTCTTCCTTCTTACATGCAACCCATATGATGCATAGTTCTCAAAGCTTCATTAGTATAATCAATATGAGCCAAATTGATTTGCTTCATTATAACCGCATAATAAGTAACACTCAGATCTTTTTTTAACTTTAAGATTTAAGGATCATGGGGCCAGAGATTTGATCTTACTTAGCAAAAGTTGCTTTGGAATCCTGTTCCAATTTTCCAAGTAACTCTAAGTTTGGATCGTCATGACTCATGGCCCTATCCATCCAAGAAGCTCTCAGCATTCCCAAATAATCAACTTTTCACACCCCAAACACTTGAGGCAAATGTATGAGTCAGTTTCAAGCATGCATGTTTAGAGAGGGGAGAAGAGATATGTTTAGGTTTTTGGTTTGAAAAATTTTATTTTATTTTTGGATCCTGAGCTTTCACTGGACAGAGATATGACAACATGGGGAAATTGTTCTGTCATAAGACAGAGGGCATTATTTTCAGAAAGTAAAAAACTGACTGGGTAAAACATGGACTGCACTTATGGAAAAAAGGAAGCAGTGTGCCTCAATTCAAAAAATCTTGTGAAAACATACATATATTTTAGAAGTTATAAATTATTTCCATTAAGCACCATCAAACTAGCAACAAATAAAAACAAAAAACTAGTAATTCCAAAATGATCAAGAGAAAGAAAACCTAAGTCAGATTCAAATCACCTTAATTTCAAAAATCTCAGAAAAGCATCAATAGCAAACAAAAATAAAATAAAATATAATAAAAATAAAATAAATATAATAAATATAAATAAAAATAAATAAAACAAAATCTCAGAAAAGTATCAATAATAAAAATAAAATAAAAATCCTTACACTGGATGCTCCCTTTAACATAAAGTCTATTTTGTGAGGCTTGTATTAATATTTTCTTATAAATATATTCTGCATAATTTTTATTCTGTGCTTATAGCTATAAAAGTTTTTTTTCAGGAAAATTTTAAAGTATGAATAAAAATCTTTGAAATAATATCGATTTTGTACAGTAATAATATAGCTATAAGTTTTCTTTTGGTTTCTACATCCCTGGTTTATCTTTTTCAATGCTTTTACTTTAAACCATTCTGTTTCTTTATATTTTAGGTATGTTTCTTATAAGTAGTATATAGATTGATTTTTAACCAGTTTGAATAATCCAGAAAAGATAAATGAAAGATCAATAAGCACATGAAAAGATGCCAAACATCATTAGCCATTAAGGAAATGCAAATAAAAACTACAATGAAATACTACTTTACGGCTGGGCGCGGTGGCTCACGCCTGTAATCTTAGCTCTCTGGGAGGCCGAGGCGGGCGGATTGTTTGAGCTCAGGAGTTTGAAACTAGCCTGAGCAAGAGCGAGACCCCGCCTCTACTAAAATTAGAAAGAAATTAATTGGCCAACTAAAAATATATAGAAAAAATTAGCCGGGCATGGTGGCGCATGCCTGTAGTCCCAGCTACTCGGGAGGCTGAGGCAGAAGGATCACTTGAGCCCAGGAGTTTGAGGTTGCTGTGAGCTAGGCTGATACCATGGCACTCACTCTAGCCCGGGCAAAAGAGATTCTGTCTCAAAAAAAAAAATACTACTTTATGCCCACCAGAATGGCTATAATCACAAATAAAGATAACAAGTGCTGGTGAGAATGCGGAAAAATTGAGCCTGCATACACTGTTGGTGGGAATGTAAAATGATGTAAACAGTTTGAAAAAGTTTTACCAAATCCAGCAATTCCATGCTAAGTACATACTCAAGAGAAATGAAAACATTTGCCCACACAAAATGTTGTACATGAATGCTCACAGCAGCATTATTCTTTTTTTTTTTTTTTGAGACAGAGTCTCACTCTCTTGCTTGGGCTAGAGTGCCGTGGCGTCAGCCTAGCTCACAGCAACCTCAAACTCCTGGGCTCAAGCGATCCTCCTGCCTCAGCCTCCCGAGTAGCTGGGACTACAGGCATGCGCCACCATGCCTGGCTAATTTTTTTTTTTATGTATATATTTTTAGTTATCCACGTCATTTCGTTCTATTTTTAGTAGAGACGGAGTCTCGCTCTTGCTCAGGCTGGTCTCCAACTCCTGAGCTCAAGCGATCCTCCCGCCTCGGCCTCCCAGAGTGCTAGGATTACAGGCGTGAGCCACCGCGCCCGGCCAGCATTATTCTTAATGGCAAAAAAATGGAAAAAATTGGCCGGGCGCGGTGGCGCATGCCTGTAGTCCCAGCTACTCGGGAGGCTGAGGCAGGAGGATCGCTTGAGCCCAGGAGTTTGAGGTTGCTGTGAGCTAGGCTGACACCACGGCACTCTAGCCCAAGCAAGAGAGTGAGACCCTACCTCAAAAAAAAAAATGGAAAAAACTGATGAACTGATAAACATAATGTGGAATAATCACAGAAGGAAATATTATTCAGCAATAAAAAGGAATGCAAAACTTATACAGGCTACAGCATGAACCTCAAAAACATTATGTTAAATGAAAGAAATCAATCACAAAAGATCACATAGTATATGAACTCATTTAATGGAATAGTCAGGGTAGGCAAATCTATAGAGAAAGAAAATGATTAGTGATTCCCTAGGATTGAAGGTGGGTGGGAGGCAGAGAAGGGGATACGGAATGACTCCTAATCGTTACAAGGTATCTTTTGGGGATAATGAAAATGATTCACAATTATATTTATGGTGATGTTGCACTCTGCAAATATACAAAATCCATTAAATTGTACACTTCAATAGGCATATTTATAGTATATAAATTATATCAATAAAGTTGTTTAAAGATCCAGATTGATAATTTGTGACTTTCGATTTAAACATTCAACACAGTTACAGCTTTAGAAATAACTGACATATTTGAATTTATCTCTACCATAGTATTTTTTTGCTATTTGTCCAGTTTTTTGCTATTTGTTCTGTGTTTCTACTGGAATGGCAATTATATAATCATATAATCATTTTCTATGCTTTAATGCCTATCTTTCACATGGTTTTGAGTGTTTATTTTTCCCATTTATTTTAACCATTTTATTATGCATAATTGACATGCAACAAATTGTACATTTACTGCATATAATTTGATAAGCCTAGCATATGTATATACTCATAAAACCATCATCACAATCAAGATAGTGGAACACAATTATTATCACCCCCAAAGATTCCTCCTATCACATTGCAATCCTCCTCTAGAACCCCAACATACTAACTCTCCCCCATCCAGGTAACCCCCGATCAACTTTCTGTCACCAAAGTTTGTATTTTCTAGAATTTATATAAATGAAACCATATAGTATTCTTCTTCATCAGTCTTCTTTCACTCAGCTTAATTATTTAGAGATTCATCTGCATTGCTGTGTTTTTCAGTAATTCTTTTTCTTGCTGAGGAGCATTCCATTTCAGGGATATATCACAATATGGATGTATATATCCATCACTTCACAATGAACATTTAAGTTGTTTCTAGTTTCTGGCTATTACAAATAAAGCCACAATGAACATTTGTGTGCAAGTCTTTGTACAGACATTTGCTTTAGTTTCTCTTGGTTAAATATGAGGAGTGGAATGGCTAGATTATATGGCAGACATATGTTTAACTTGGTAAGAAACTATAAAATAATTTTCCAAACTGGTTGGACCATTGTGCATAATAAGTAGTCATTCTATTCTTTTTTTTTTTTTCTATGAGACAGGGTCTTGCTCTGTCACCCCAGGTAGAGTGCAGTGGTGTCATCATAGCTCGCTGTAACCTCAAATTCCTGGGCTCATGTGAAACTCCTGCCTCAGCCTCCCAAGCAGCTGGGACTACAGGCACATGCCACTGCACCCAAGTAATTTTTAAATTTTTTGTAGAGACAGGGTCTTGCTATGTTGCTCAAGCTGGTCTTGAACTCCTTCCTGGCCTCAAGCAATCCTCCCGGCTTCACCTCCCAAAGTGCTAGGAGTACAGGTGTAAGCCACTGTGCTTGGCCCCCCTTCTAGACTTCTTATGTTTACTACTTGCATGGTTCATCTTTTTCATCCCTTTATTTTCAGTCAATCTACATAAGTACTCTTATCTACAAATAAAGCAGTTTTACCTTTTTCTTTCCAATCTGTTTGCCTCTTATTATTTATTTTTCTTGGCTTAAAACATTGGTTAGAACCCAGTGTACAAAGCTGAAGTAGTAATATCAAACATATGTGTTCCTCATCTTACATAAAAAGCACTGAGACTTTCACCATTTTGTATAACATTAGCAGTAGATTTTCTATAGATGTCCTTAATAAAGATGGGAAAGTACCTTTTTATTTACAGTTAGCTAAGTTTTTATTTTTTATCATCAACAGATGTTCAATGCTGTCAAATCCTTTTTCTCCATCTACGGATCATACGGTTTTTATACATTATTGTAATAAGGTTAGTTAAATACACTGACTTTCTGATGTTAAAGCAACCTTATATTCCTAAAATAACCTCCATTTGAACATGATGGATTGTCATTTTTATATATTGCTGAATCAATTTGCTCAAGTTTTGTTAATGGTTCTTGCATCTACGTTCATGAGTAACTGCAGTTCTCTTCTTTTTTTTTTTTTTTGAGATACAGTCTCACTCTGTTGCCTGGGCTAGAGTGCCCTGGTGACAGCCTAGCTCACAGCAATCTCAAACTCCTGGGCTCAGGAGATCCTCCTGCCTCAGCCTCCTGAATATCTGGGACTACAGGCGTACACCACGATACCTGGTTAATTTTTCTATTTTTAGTAGAGATGGGGTCTCGCTCTTGCTCAGGCTGGTCTTGAACTCTGGACTTCAAGTGATCCTCCTGCCTTGGCCTCTCAGAGTGCTAGGATTACAGGCATGAGCCATTGCGCCTAGCCCCTGCAGTTATCTTGTTCTTGTAAGGTATTAGCCTGGTTTTAGAATCAGGATAATTACTAGTTAAAACATGTTTCTTCTTCTTTTTATTATTTTCTAAAAGAGCTTATGGAGGATTGGTATTACTTCTACTTTAATTGTTTGATAGAATTCACAATCTGGGCCTGGAATTCTAATAATCAAAAGGTTAATTACAAATCCAATTTCTTTAAGCTGATACAAGACTGTTCAAGTTTTCTATTTTTTCTAAGTCACTTTTGTTTATTTGTGTCTTTCAAGGAATTTGTACATTTATGTTGTGAAATTTATTACATGATACTCATATATTTGAATCTGTTCATAATATTATTTTACTATGTTTTTAACGTCCACAGGATCTGTAGTGACATCCCCTTTCATTCCTAACGTAGGTGCGATATTGAGGGTTCAGTTCCAGACTATTCAATATTCGCAACAAAGCGAATATTGTAATAATCCAAGTCACATGAAATTCTTTGTTTCTAGCGCATATAAAAGTTATGTTTACACTACACTGTAGTCTAGTAAGTATACAATAGACTTATGTCTATAAAAACAATGTACATACCTTAATTAAAAAATATTTTATTGCTAAAAAATTCTAAAGATTATCTAAGCCTTCAGTGAGTTGAAATGTTTTTGCTGGTAGAAGGTCTTACCTTGATGTTGATGGTTACTGACTGATCGAGGTAGTGGTTGCTGACGACTGGGGCAGCTGTGGCAATTTCTTAAAATAAGACAACTAAGTCTGTAATATTGACTAACTCTTCTTGTCACATGAGATTTCTCTGTAGCATGAGATTTTACCCACAGAACTTTTTTCAAAATTGGAGTCAATCTTCTCCAACTCTGCTACTGCTTTATCAACTAAGTTTATGTAATATTTTAAATCTTTTGTTTTCATTTGCACAATATTCACAGCATCTTCACCAGTAGATTCTATCTCAAGAAACCACTTTATTTATTTATCCCTAAGAAGCAACCCCTCACCTGTTCATGTTTTATCAGGACATTGCAGCGATTCAGTCACATCTTCAGGCTCTGCTTCTAATTCTAGTTCTCTTGCTATTTCCACCCCAGCTGCAGTTACTTCCTCCACTGAAGTCTTGAACCCCTCAAAGTCATCCATGAGGGTCAGAATCAACTTCTTTCTGTTAATGTTGCTATTTTGCCCTCCTCCTGTGAATCATGAATGTTCTTGATGGCATCTAGAACAGTAAGTCCTTTCCAGAAGGTTTTCTATTTGCATTCTCTTGTATCTCACTGAGTTTCTTTTGTATCATTATTTTAAATTCTTTTTCAGGCATTTCATAGATTTCTTTTTCTTTGGGATCTGTTACTAATGAATTATTGTGTTCTTTTAGAGGTGTCATGTTTTCTTGTGTTCTCATATTTCTTATATCCTTATGATGATACCTGCACATCTGGTGTAACAGGCGCTTCTTCCAATTTTATGGAATGGCTTTCACAGGGAAAGCCTTTTTCCTGTAGATGTATCTATAGTATTGGATAATGTGCTTTGGCTTTGATTCTGGGTGGGTGCAGTAGTGTAGTCTTCATGTGATTTCTTCAGCTGTAATCAGTGTCAGTGGTATCTGGGACTTCCTCCATGGCTTAGGCTGTGGTTGTTAATGGGGGTTGTGGTGAGTATTTGCTGGGGTTGGGGATACCAGGTGGGCCAGTCCTTGGGCACCAGACAAGGTAATGGCAGGCCAGGTATGCCAGACCTTGGGTGACATGTGTGGTGGCATCAGCAGTGGCAGTAGCCACAGTGGGTGAACCCTTGGGGCCCTGGGTGAGCACTCACATGGGTGAGTGCTGGCAGTGGTGGAGGCAGGCTGGCCGGGCTGGTCTCTGGGACCCTGGGAGGTGCCCACGGGGGGCAAGGTGGGCCCATCCTTAGGTCCCTGAAAGGCATATGCATGGGCCAGTGGCTGCAGGCAGGGGGGTCCAATCCCTCGACCATCTGACATCATACAAAAAAGTGGCAGCTGGAGGCAGAGTGGGTCAATCCCCAAGCTCCTAAATGATGTGTGTGGGCACTGGCAGCAGCTGGTGGGCCAGTTCCATCCCCATGACCCTGATGGTGTGCACCAGTGGCAGTGGATGGGGAAGTTCAACACCAGGCTCCTAGATGGCATGCTTAGGTGGTGGCAGCAGTAGTTATGGGTAGGGAGGGTCTGTCCTCAGGCCCTGAGGTAGGCCATGGCAGGCAAGTCCTCAGGCTCCCTTGAAAGCGTGTACAGGTACACAGAGGTCCTACCACTGAAGGGGTGGGGTTGCTGTTACTGGCAATGTCCTTAGGCGGGCAGCTATCAAGCTCAGGGGAGTGCATGGCTCCCTTTGTCCTGGGGACAGCCTCCCTGGTACACTGCACTGCCCATTCCTGGGGCAAAAGACACTGTGGAGCCTAAAGTACTGGGGACCCTGTTACACCACTGAGTCCAGATGACGTCAGGACTCTGCAGGCTCCTGTGTGGATGTTGGGGTTTGACAGCTAGGTCTCAGGGATGTGGAGATGCAGGGGCTGTTGGGCCCCAGGGCAGGAGGTATTCTGGTGGCTACTAGGCTCTCAAAATGGCACTGTGCTGGAGCTGACTGGGTCTCAGGGGCTATGTAGGGACTAGCAGGAACTGCCTCTCTGAAATAATGCCATGGTGTGAACTCCAGGAAGCTCCCTATGCTACACTCAGGGCCCATGGGGGGCAAGGGACTCTCTCGTGGAGAGGACTGCAGGAATCTGAGGTGGGAATGTGGCCCACCAGGGACCTCTCATTTACCTTTTGCCCCACAGTGGGGAGTTTCTCCTGGCTCTGTGCCAATCCTAGCCAAGCCAGCTGCTTTGCTTCCCTCTCTTTCCATGCTGCAGAAGTTCCTTGTCACTTCCCTGCTGAATTTCAATGTTTTCTCTTACATGTTCTATTTGCTATGTGTTTACCTAGTTATTGCTGTGGTCCTTCTTTGTGGAGGAGGTGAATGCTGAGTGACTCTAGTCAACCATCTGAAAGCTCCCTCTCTGCTTTTCTTTATGTCAATCCAAATTTCTGTCTAATATTGTTTTCCTTTTCTCTGAAGAGCTTCTTTTAACATTTATCACAAGGCAGGTCTACTGGCAACAAATTCCCTCAATTTTTGTCTGTCTGTGAAAGTCTTAATTTATTTCTCACTTCTGAAGGATAACTCTGCTAGATACAGAATTCTAGGTTGGTGGGTTTTTTCTTTCAACACTTTAAAATATTTTACTCCATTCTTTTCTTGTGAGCATGGTTTCTGAAGAGAAATCCAATGTAATTTTTATCCTTTTTCACCTGTGGAAAAAGTATTTTTCATATCTTGCTTCTTTCAAGATTTTCTCTTTGTCTTTGATTATCTGCAGTGTGAATACAAAATGTGTAGGTGAGGATTCTTTTGGTATTTAACCTGCTAGGTGTTCTCAACTTTCCGGATCTGTGATTCAGTCACTATGAATTCTGGAAAACTTTCAGCTACTATTTCTTCAAATATTTCTTCTGTTCATATTTCTGTCTTTATTCTCCTCCTGGTATTCCCATTACAAGTCTTAAATATTCTGTTTTTTCTTTTTTTTCTCTTTGCTTTTCAGTTTGTGAAGTTTCTACTGACGACATATCTTGAATCTCACTGATTCTTTCTCACGTAACAATCTACTGATAAGAACATCAAAGGCATTTGCAGTGTTTTTGATTTCTAGCATGCCTGTTTGATTCTTTCACAGGATTTCCATTTCTCTGCTTACATTATCCATCTGTTCTTGCATGTTGTACATTTTGATTAGAGCCCTTAGTAAGTTAATTATAATTATTTAAAATTTCTGATATAATAATTCTAAAATCTCTTCCATATCTGAGTCTGGTTCTGATGCTTGCTTTGTCTCTTCAAACTGTTTCTGACTTTCAGTATGTCTTGTAATTTTTTGTTAAATGCTGGATATAATATACTGGGTAAAAAGAACTAGAGTAAATATGCTTTTAATGTGAAGTTTTATGTTTATGTGTCAAGATACAAGGCTATGTTTCCTGTTTTTTGTTAATAAATTATAGGTGTCAAAAGCTTACAATTTTCTCTAGTATCCTTGTTTTTTTATATTCCAAGTCGTTTTGGGGGTTTCTCTATAGACTCCTGAATAATCTGAGCCTTGTAGCTTTCAGCTGTGATCCCGTTATTACATAAGAGCCCTGCTGATGCGGCAGAAAGGTGTGGAATGGGAGGAATCATTCATTCATCCTAAAATTAGGTCTCAGTGGTTGAGTGGTGTGTGCCCCTTTGGCAGTGACCTTCAGTGCTTCTCAGGTCATTCCCTCCTTATATGAGACAATCCCTGCTTTCATTAGGTTCTGATAAAACCCATGTTATTTAGGTGCTGGTAAAGTAGTTTTCCCTAAGGGCGGGCCTTCGTTAAGGAGAATAGAAAGCTCCGAACATCTTTCAAATCCCTCTAAGAGAAAAATTAAGTAATATTTTCTAATAAGTAATTTTGAAATAAATTATTTTAGTATTTTCTGGTAGGTTTCAAGTAAGTGGGATAAAGTATAAGTTGTATCACACAAGTAAACTGACAACATTAGAATAGTTCAACAGCTATTTCCTGTAATATAAATTATTATATTTGGTAATTCAGTGGTAAAAGCAAAAGTATCAATGGAAGTTCTTACCATGGAAAAGTATTCATTCGTACCCTGTTTTTATAAATCAGAATTCCGCCTGACATCACTCCAATCGTGATTTCATTGTTACTTTGATCCTTCAAAAAAAAAAAAAAAACAGTCTATAGTAACCAAAACAGCATGGTACTGGCACAAAAACAGAGATATAGACACATGACATATGGATTAGAACAGAGAACTCATATATAAAACTATCCTCACATTGCCATCTGATCTTTGACAAAGCAGACAACTGTATACAGTGGGGGAAAGAATCCCTATTCAATAAATGGCACTGGAATAATTGGATAGCCACATGTAGAAGATTGAAACAGGATCCTTACCTCTTACCACTTACAAAAAATAATTCAAGATGGATAACAGACTTAAACTTAAGGCATGAAACCATAAGAATTCCAGAAGGGTATGTTGGAAAAACTCTTCTAGATATTGGCCTAGCCAAAGAATTTATGAAGACCCCAAAGGAAATCACAGCAACAACAAAAACAAATAAATGGGACTTGAT